CCAGGGCTACAACAGGGGTGCTGCCATGCGGCCCCTCCCGCTGTGTTGCCGCCTGCCACGAGGGCTCCACTCCGGTCGGCGGGGAGGGAAGGAAGAGGACTGCCCTGCAGGGCGCTCTGGTTCTCCGTGTCGCCACCCCCTACAGGGCAGCCAGAGCGGAACAAAAAAAAAAAGGGCCGTGCCACCCTAAGATTGGGCAGAATGCCGCCTCCAACAATCTGCTGCCCCAAGCACCAGCTTGCTTAGCTGGTGCCGGCCCTGCTCATGAGATCCCTTCCAATCCTAAGATTTGGTGCCAAACATTCAATGCAGGATCTTGGATAAACTCACATTTTTCTTAGTCTGTTTCAACTATTACCATTAACTTAATGCAGATAAATATGGGCACCCCTAATACTGCCTATAGCTTAACAGGCGAAAGACTGAGCTTATTTCACAAGCAGCATAACGTCACACAAGGAACTTGAAGATAAAATGTTAGAAGTCATTAAGCTGCTAGAGAGAGAGACAGCCATGAAGGCAGAACAGAATCAGCCCCTTGCCTTATACTAAACAGACCCTGCGTCTGATTAAAATCAGCAGTTTTGGAAAAAATTTGGGGGAATAAATGAAGGCGAATCTTTGGTTTTGGCTAGAATTGTCAGCTATTGTATTGACACGTCAAGATTTGTAAGAAATACGGCGGCATCTAGAAGTACCTTGTTTGTCTTGTGGAACAAGCTGCCTGCTGTTCTCTTGAACTTTGTTCCTTGCACTGGCTTCCTGCTCTTCAGACCATTCTACATTATCCCTGTTGGGAAAAATAAAATGAGCTACTTAGCTAGGAAGGTTAAGACGGGGAAAAAAATGAGAAAGCTGCTGGGCAGTGTAACAGCATTTCAGTGTCTGATAAATTAAGAACCAAAAACACTCTTAATAAGCAAATAAAGGGAGGGAATTAGACGGCTCACTGAATTGGTAATAATAGGGGTTTCATATATAGGTCTCCAATTCAAATCTGGGCCAGTTAGGTAGTGATCTAAAGCTGATCAACATGTGATGGCTGTTCAGAGGTGTATGTGAATGGTTTTGGATGCCCATCCAGTTTTAATGGACACAAATCCACGCCACAAGATCACTATCACATTTCACACTAATAGGCACCCTTTGTTGACAAAGCAAACGACTCACCTGTCATGTACTAAAATAGCTTTAATTCGTACACAGATTTAATATTGAACAATATGCATGAATATCCTAGAGATAGCACTGGATCCAGGGAAACTTTCAGATGTTAAGAACATGTTGACAGTTTCAATGTACATACATAACTGCACAGGCATTAAAGCAAATGATAATTTAAAAAGAGCGAAGCAAGATGATGCGAAGGAGACAGGACAAAGAAGAATATAGGGGCCTAGCAGAATTTTTCAGGCCCTAAAATGGGTTATTCTTTCATCACTATTTGATAGAGACAAAAGACAAAGAAACAGAACCGTAAACCCCTAAGAATGTCTCATTTCTGGAAAAAGGAAATTGACCATTTACATTTATGAAGCGACTTTGAGTCATATAATCCAAAACTGGATCACCAAGCGAGGCTGGGGGGTCGGGCTGCACGTGGGGAGGTGTCAGTGTCTGCCAGACTGGGGGAGTCTGCGCGACCGCACGGAGGGGGGGGGGATTAGTGCCCCCGGGGCGAGGGGAGGCTGCACGCGGGGGGGTGTCGGTGACCCCCCCCAGGACTGGGGGAGGCAGCGCCAGCGCGCAGAGGAGGGGATCGGTGTCCCTCGGGGCTGAGGGGGCTTGGTGCCGTCGGGGCGGGGGGAGCTACACGCGGGGGAGGGGTGTCGGTGACCCCCCCCCCAGGACTGGGGGAGGCAGCACGAGCGCGCAGAGGGGGGGGAATCGGTGCCCGCCGGGGCGGGGGGAGGCTGCACGCGGGGGGGGGTGTCGGTGACCCCCCAA